CAGTAAGATCTGGACTGCAGCAACCGTCAGAGAAATTTAGTTTGATATATGAGAGGGGAAAAAGAAACAGTAGACTTCAGCAGTGCTGAGCATTGGAGTCTATGAGCTGCCCTCACACGTGTCAACTTTGAGGAGAAAGGCTTGGGATTTCATAATGAACTTGCCTTTCTGTTGATTCTGAGGCAGCAGTACAGTATACAAAATGCTGGAGGTATAACTAAGCATTCATTCATTTCATTGGGAAAATGTTACGGTCATGTGTCTCTTGTTTAACATCTCCTTTATCTCTTCTTTCATTTTTCCTTACAAGTCATTAGTATTGAATAGTCACTACTCTCACCCTAAATCAATATTGCTTGTTAAGCGTATCCCATAGTGTTAAAAATAGGAGGATGGACTATTGTGTTTGTCTCTTTTGAGTTATTTATAAAAATAATAAAAGCAGAATATAAGTAAATAAACAGGGTGTTGAGGTTCAACATGGCTGGAATGGGCTGGTCCTGAACATGTCATTTCAATGACTAAGATAGATGTACGCAGGGCATCAGGGCCACAGATGTTCCATTTTTATAAATCAATATTCTAACATAGATCTCAAGATTGCAACTGCTATAATTCCCAAACAATGTTATGCAATCATTAGCTGGCACTTTTCATCTCTAGAGGCTGACTGCCCTACGCTGGGACATCCCAGCTGCCAGATTCAGAATTTTCTTGATTGGGAGCATCTTACCTTCTGATCCTGCTATATATCTTCCTAGTCTCACTGCTTCCTTCTCCAGTTGAGGAAAAGATACATTGAGAGAACAACTTTGTCCTCTCCCTATATAGGCTATACGGCCTGGGTACATGTCCCATTAACATTGGAGAGCAAAGCAGGAGATAGCCAAAGGCCTAGCATGCTGGCTGGGGAATTCTGGAAGTTGAAGTCCACACATCCAAAATTGCCAAGTTTGAAAAGCATTGCCTAGAAGATGCAAAGCCTTTTGGCTTTTTAAAAATAAGGGTCTCAATATCTAGTGATTTCAGGAAAATGGATAGGGGCTGGTTGGAATCTAAAGCAAAATATTTTATTACTGCCTTTTTCTGATAACTTCCCCACGTGGCTAAAATCAAGGGATTTCCTAATAGCATCCCATCCAAGTACTAACCAATTTTTGTTTTTGGAAGATCAGCAGAGAACTGCCCTAATATACCTACATTTCATCATGAGAGTTCTCTACCACTGGGAATAAATTTAGGACCTTCCATCTCTTCCTCTGCCAGGAGTATGTATTTGGTAAACATGTACCCTTTTGTTTTTCACTCTAAACAGGATTGCACCCACTTGATCTTTTTCTGTTTCATAACATAGACACAAACATTGAAACAATGTGGGGATATTAAAATCTGTACGACTGGGATTATTCATCCACAAAATTTCTTAATGATTCTGGATTTTTTCAGAAAATAGTTATTAGACAGAAAGATCATTTATTATCTTTCTGTTGGATACTCATTATTCAAGTTAACATCTGTTCAAGGTCATGTTTCAAGGTCTTATACATTTCAGTACATTGTACTTCCCTGTTACATTTTCTTTTCATATCCTAACAAATTTTATAATGCAGAGGTTGAGGCTAGCATTTTTTAAAAAAGGCCTCTTTGAAGTTCCATAATCCACCATGTTAGTCCTGCATGTGAGGAAGCAAAAAACAGAGCCTATTAATTCCTGAGCAAGAAAACTTTAGAAAAATTAATATATGGTAGTTGGGAAAATGTGATAACTTTAAAAGAATAGAGCCAATTTGTATCTTTCAAAAGGTATCATATTAAAGTAGATTTTTATTTTAAAAAAAATCACATGCTATGTGGAAATTTGCAGAAAAACATATAAAACTTTAAGAACTACTTGGTTTTCTGGATATTAAAAATCGTGAAGCAATTAGATGCAACAATAGTATATGGACATATAAGCAAATACGCAGAATTGTTTCCAGTGATCAATGTATATCCTAAAAGAACCTACTTTTGTAGAAAAAGCTTTTCTGCAGATACACCAAGATCTGCCTGGGAGGAAAGAGCCTTATCCTGTATTATTCACCAGGTACCAGGAATGTACCAGGTCTGCATAAAACGTGACGTTTTTGTAATCTGTGGGACTATGAAAGTACCTCTCTTTGGAGTATTAAAACACCTGCATCTTTTGCAGGATAAGCTACAGTAGCTATTTCTAAAGCTGATTCCAGCTGTCACTTACAATAATTGGGTTTTTTAAATTTTAAATTATTTATGCCAATGTTTTTTAAATTCTAAATTGCAATCTGTTCTTTTTACCACAAAGTGCACATAAATCTGTTCTAAACAAATTGTATGTACTTTCTTATGTACAAAGAAAAAGATTGTGAAAGAAAAAATATTTACAATCTATGACTGCAATATAATCCCTTCCAATCTAAAAGTAGACACCATGAATACTATGTGGACATCACCCCAAGCAGTGAATAGCAGAACTGCCAATCATGTCTGTTGAAATGATCTTTCTTTTTTTGAATCTAGTATCTCTATTACCAATTAAACATATACAGACCAAAACATTTGAAAAGAGCTGTGATGGGACATAGGCATTTATAACCTATTCTTTTCAAGAAGTGAGAAAACTGGAGTTGTATGCATTTTTCTTTCCGGTTGTTCTAGGGATGTTTAACATCTGCCATAATAAAATGCAGCAACTTCTGCTTAACCTTGTTTTGTTAATAAAATTGTTAACCCAATTTTTCAAAGTTCCAGGAGAGAATAACCAGAATACAGGTGAAACTCGAAAAATTAGAATATCGTGCAAAAGTTCATTTATTTCAGTAATGAAACTTAAAAGGTAAAACTAATATAAGAGATAGACTCATTACATGCAAAGCAAGGTAGTTCAAGCCGTGATTTGTCATAATTGTGATGATTATGGCTTACAGCTCATGAAAACCCCAAATCTACAATCGCAGAAAATTAGAATACTGCATGCAATCAATAAAACAAGGATTGTACATAGAACAATATCGGACCTCTGAAAAGTATAAGCATGAATATGTACTCAGTACTTGGTTTGGGCCCCTTTTGCATCAATTACTGCCTCAATCCAGTGTGGCATGGAAGCTATCAGCCTGTGGCACTGCTGAGGTGTTATGGAAGACCGGGATGCTTCAATAGCGGCCTTCAGCTCTTCTGCATTGTTCAGTTTCATGTGTCTCATTTTTCTCTTGGCAATGCCCCATAGATTTTCTATGGGGTTCAGGTCAGGCGAGTTTGCTGGCCAATCAAGCACAGTAATCCCACGGTCATTGAACCGGGTTTTGGTGCTTTTGGCAGTGTGGGCAGGTGCCAAGTCCTGCTGGAAAATGAAATCAGCAGCCCCATAAAGCTCGTCTGCAGAAGGAAGCATGAAGTGCTCCAAAATCTCCTGGTAGACGGCTGCATTGATCCTGGACTTAATGAAGCACAGTGGACCAACACCAGCAGATGACATGGCTCCCCAAATCAACAAAGACTGTGGAAACTTTACACTGGACTTCAAGCATCTTGCAGTGTGTGCCTCTCCACTCTTCCTCCAGACTCTAGGTCCTTGGTTTCCAAATGAGATGCAAAAGTTGCATCAGAAAAGAGGACCACTGAGCAACAGACCAGGTCTGTTTTTCTTTAGCCCGGGTAAGACGCTTCTGATGTTGTTTGTTGTTCAGGAGCGGCTTGACAAGAGGAATACGACATTTGAAGCCCATGTCCAGGATCTGTCTGTGTGTGGTGGCTCTTGATGCACGGACTCCAGCCTCAGTCCACTCCTTGTGAAAGTCCCCAACACTTTTGAATGGCCTTTTCCTGACAATCCTCTCCAGGGTGTGGTCATCCCTGCTGCTTGTGCATGTTTTTTCCCCACACTTTTCCCTTCCACATAACTTTCTATTACTGTGCTTTGATACAGCACTTTGGGAATATCCAACTTCTTTTGCAATTACCTTTTGAGGCTGTCCCTTCGGAGGGTGTCCATGTTTTACTGCACAACTGTCAGGTCAGCAGTCTTTCCCATGATTGTGCTTCCTATTGAACCAGAGTGAGAGACCATTTAAAGGCTCAGGAATCCTTTGCAGGTGTTATGGCTTAATTAGCTGAGTAGAGTGGGACACTCTGAGCCTTGAATATTGAACCTTTTCACAGTATTCTAATTTTCTGAGATTGTGGATTTGGGGTTTTCATGAGCTGTAAGCCATATTCATCTCAATTATGACAAATCACGGCTTGAACTATCTTGCTTTGCATGTAATGAGTCTATCTCATATTAGTTTTACCTTTTAAGTTTCATTACTGAAATAAATGAACTTTTGCACAATATTCTAATTTTTCGAGTTTCACCTGTACTTACGAATAAGGACATTTTATTCCTACTCTTATTTATATAAGCTGCGTATTCTGAGATTGTGTTGACAGTAAATAAATGACCAAATTTTTGTACCTTTTTTCAAATACCAGTGATTATCATATTAGTTTTATAAAACACAATGAGTGAAACTGACAAATTAAATCCTAAAGATTCAGTGCTTTCATTTTACCCTAAAAGCCAGTTCAACCAAGCATTTTCAGATTGGCATCTGAGGTTTTTCACTTATGTGTTACTAGCATTTTGTTAGCAGTTTTAGAAATTGAAAATAAAATAAAGTTATCCAATTGGTTCATTTTATCTACTGTATATAGCAAGTTGATGTTTTGAGAGCAAAAAGGTTGGTCTGGTGTGGGAGGTCAAGATACTGAACTAGAAACAGTGATTTGGAGTTTTAGTCCTCCAGTAGATACAAAAGCAGGCTGAATAGGCCTTGAATAAAATAAAGATGAGATATACATGTAATGAATACTTTATTAAACTGTTGCACATCCAGGCATTGGCTATATTCGCATGTTACAGTAAACCGTTAACCATGGCTTACAAATTTTAATGTCACAGTTACTTTCGCAATCCTCTCACTTTGTTAAGCCTTCTTTAGCAACCTAGTCAGCATTTGGGCATATCCTTCACAGAACAAAAAGTCAGCAGTGATCCACCAGAGATAAGATATGTGGAAAGAGAAAAATGGATTTCTCTCCCACTTTACATTTTCAATTTACACCTCTGCATATTTACTCGGAACAGGGGTGTAAGACTTAAAGGGAAATTAAGGAGTTAAATGCCTTGCCTCTTCTAGAGGAATAAGAGGAAAAATTCTGGCAGTGATATCCCTCAAAACCAATTCTACAAACATTTCTACATTACATGTTGCTTTCCCTTCCAAAACCTGGGTTGGGTATTGCTGACCACAGTAATATGTTTCCCCCAAACTGCTTTTCTTTAATGAAGTAATCCATGGCATTATCATCTAAATTACATCTTATTTTAACATCTCATTTGAACTAAAGCAAAACATTTGGTCCCCACTTTTTTATGTGACAATTCTAGAACTTAGGCTGGAGTGCTTTTTCATTTTCAGATGCTTTATTTCTACTTATTTGAGAACAACTTTTCTTACCCATTAATAAGATCACTTAATAAAGTGAATAGAAAAACAAAAAAATATGGCATTTCTTAAATAATTCATTAACATTGGTTTAGTTTGAGTATGGTTCACAGTATTGCATTTTCCATTCTATCATTTTGTCTACATTCTCAATTTCTGCTTTCAAAGCATTTAGTAGCATTTTAGAACTCTCCAAAATCTTGTCATAGGTGTACAGTCCATCAACAAGAATGGCATCAAGCTCCTTTTGTACAGCCTTTTTCCAAGCTAAACTTCCACATATATTTTCCATTTGTTGGGTTAACATCTCAATTTCATTCTGAACCTTAGCCTTGTTGTTTATTAACTTTTCAATTTGCTTGTCTACTTCTCTTTTCTGAATATACAGCTCTTCCATATAATCCACAAGTTCATTACTAGAGCACTGGATATTGGCTGCCTGTTGAATCATCCTGCTGACTTTATCCTCAACAGACAAGGGTCCTTTCTTCTACTGGCTATATCACCAATTTCCTACATTCATTTAAGGAAGAAAGAAAAATGGCTAGTTTAGTAATCCTACATTGTACACATATGGTTTAACGTGAAGACAAACTGAATTAAAAGGTGATGGATGAAACCAGTTTTAGAAATTTCCAGGTATCCCATTTCTACTTTAAATATGACATCCAAGGTGTTTCCACATTAATTTAGCAATTCATATTGTCTGCAATCTGAATAGTTACTAAGTGTAAGTTTTTGCATGAGTGTAGAATTAAGTGCTTGTTGACATAAACAGTCAAAGCAATGAGAAGAAACATTTCTCCCCTTACTTGGCCTCCAGCCTCATAAAGCAGATGTTTTATGGAATCGCCCATCTTTGCAAATTTATAAGAGCCACCAAGCTGTTCTGTAGCTTTATACAAGCTATTATATCCTCAAATCTCTGGAAAACAGATATTGTTTGAAACCTGTGTATGTGGTATATATGTGTATCTGAGACTGTTTGTGTGATAGTTAATAAGCCCCCCCCCTTCCCCCCCAGGGCTATTGTAACTTTAAACCACCATTGAACAATCTGTTTGTTGTAAGTAGCTGACTACCTGTATGTTTTTGCCATGTCATTACTGAATCTTCCACCCAGAGGAGACACTTTTAATTTTGCCTATTTTTCTATATTTGAGGCAAGGAGAAACAAACCAGGAAAAAACAAACCAATTTTGGTTTGGAAAGTGTAACCAATTTGGCAAGTTCAGGGCCGAGAGATGTCACAACCCGCCTCCCCCACCCCACCGCCGCCGCCGCCGCCCTTTTCTGGCCATTGACGTGAGGAAGGGTCCACAGCTGCCCCGTCTCCTTCTCGCTTCCGCCAAGACAGCAGAAAAGGCAAGAGCGCTTTTTCCGTCAGCTGCAAACCCCGACAAGGCCGAGCCTCCTTGCCCTTGGGTCCAGAACGCCCCGCATCCAGAAGAGCTTAGTTTCCAGCCTCGGGCGCTGCAGAGGCTCCCTCGACATGGCCACCGGGCACCTCGGGAGGAGCCGGGAGGAGCTCCGGCGCCAGACCCAACTTTCACCTCCGCGCCTGCGCACTGCTTAAAATGAAGGACGCCGAGTTTTTGCTTTTACCTAGCGGCGGATTAAAGCTCACCGGTGCCCCCCCCCACCGTACCAACTGTACAAACTAAGCCATATTCTCAACTTTGCGGTGGCCCCTTTGGGCCTGGTGCCCCAAGAACGTGCTTAGTTTGCTTAATGGTTAATATACCACTGCCCCTCCCACTACCACCGCCCTTTCCCAAAGCAAACCAACAAGCGGTACGCAGCCAGGTGCACGTGAGCGTTCATCCTCTCCCCACGGCTTGTGTGCGGGGCTGCCGGCGTCCAGCGCCTTGTGGGCGTCTCGTCAGTAACCCCGCTAAAAATTCAGACGCTCCGGTGCATGAAATATATCCCGTGCGTGGGGGAAAAAAAAAAAACTCCTTGGAGTAAAACTCCTGCCTTGCAGGGGCATAAAGCGGCTCAGGACGACGAGAGTTGCAGTCCACATGTACGAAAAGCTCGCCAAGTTTTACGCCCGCTCCCCCCCACAAAACAGGTTGCTGCAAATGCACAGCACTTACTTTTCGAACGGGGCTGCGCTGAATCCTTTTCAGGCTCCGTTTAAATCTCGTTCTACAGGCGATTTTCTCAGAGGCTGCAAACAAAGTTTAGTGAGAGTTTAGTACGGAAAGGTCCTGGGTTATAGTGAGAAAATAAAGTCAAGCTCTTACCAAACGCGTTACCGCTTCGCGTCTTCAGCCAAACTGCAATGAACTCCAAACTCCCAACATCTGCTTCCCGCAGGCAACGCATTTAAAGTCGAGGGAGCGAATGGGCGGAAAGGCCTCAGCCAATCAGTGGCCAAGGATGTTCGCAGCACCTGGGAGCATTTTAGGGAGTAGCTTTTACAAGACTTACGTGCCGATCGGACACGTTCTCCGTCTCGTTTACGGAAACAACCGAAAGAGCAGCAGATAGGGAGACCAAGGGAGAAGAAACACCTATGAAACATCAATTGATAGAACGTGAAGGATGTGTGTTTATGTTTATTTTCATAATCATAATGTACGCTGAAGATGGTATTTAATTGCGTTGTATGAGGTGCATTGACAATGAAGTAAAGTAAAGTAAAGTAAACTAAACTAGCGCCGGGAAAACCCGAGATCTCATCCAAAGGCGTGCCATCGGCTTGACGGAAACCTCCGATGTTTCCCGAAGGTGCCAAGTCTTAAATTGAGAGCCGAGCGCTCAGGCTTTCCCTTCCACATCAAGGGATTTCCGGCATTGAACGGAAACGGCCGATGGCTCTCGGAAGAGAGGCTCTCAGAACCTGTGAGGGGAGGTAGGAGGGGCTTAGGCCTAAGAAAGAGGAAGGTTGATATTAAAAAAAAAAAAAAACCATAGTGTGTGTGTGTGTGGGGGGGGGGAGTTTGGTCGGAAAGAGCCGACCGCAGCCGACGGTAAGCGAAGGCGGTGGCGTCCCAGTTTCCCGGATGTAATCGGACGGCGGTAGTGTTGGGAGCAGTGGCTGAGGGAGGGGGGGGAGGCAGCGGCGGCGGGCGAGCGAAGGCGGACCGCGGGGGCGGCGGGGACGTCGTCGTCTTCCGCGCTCCTCTCTGTGCGTGATTTGCGGCGCAGCCTCTCCTCTCACAGCCGGGTGTGGAGAGGAGATGGGCCCGTGAGCGCTGCTTCCTCTCACAGCCGAACTGCCTGAGCCGCCTCTCCTCCCTCCCTTCCCCTCCTCTTCCCCGTCCCCGGTCGGAGCGCTGCTTCCCCTTCCCCCCTCGGCGGCGCCCGTGGCCCGGCCGCGCCCTCCTGGTCCCCTCAGTCTCTCTCTCACAGGCCGGGCATTGATGGTAATGTATGCGAGGAAACAGCAAAGACTCAATGATGGGTAAATACCCCTTTCGCGTCCCGCCCCCCCCGACTGCGCCTATGTCGTTCCCCCCCCCCCCCCCCGCCCCTCGATGCCAACCGCCAGTAACGGTCGCTCGTTAACGCTGCGTTTCTGTCCCTCTCTCTCTTTTTCTCTTCCAGCTGTCACGACCGCAAGGGGGACTCGCAGCCCTACCAGGTACCGACTTATTCGCCCGCCGCAGTCCCCACATTGAGAGGCCCTGCGGCGGCAACAACTAAAGTGTGGGAGGGCGAGTTAAAGTACTCGAGCGCAGGCTTCGGCCGCCGCTGCAAGGCCGCACGCGAGCCGCCCCTTCCCTTTCCCTTCGCTCCGCGCGCGGCCGGCCGGCCGAGGCGGGTGGGGGAAGGAGGAGGAGGGGGCGGCTGCGGCTGGTTTCCTTCGCCAAGCGCGGCGCGTCTGAGGGAGGCAGCGGCGAAGGCCTGGCGGGGCAAGGAAACGGAGCCTAGGCCCAATGCGGGGCGGGAGGAAGGCTTTGTTTTTGTTTTTTTTCTCTTCCCCCTCCGTAGGAAACCGGGGGAGTCTAATTTGCAGGGCAGCTGTTTATAGGAACTCTTCCCTAAGACAATAAAGGACCCTGGGCCCCTGACCCTTAGCGCGTGGGGGGTGGGGGTGTGTGATGGAAATAAGGCCGTGGGGAATTCTAGTTCTTCAATCCTATTCATAAAAGAGCTTGCAAATTGGGGGTGGGGTGTGTGGAAGTGGAGGAATTCGGGCAGATTGTTGGAGACTCCTGGGGGAGTGTGCCACAACTTTGGTTTGTACCTTTTTCTGACCCACGGTTTTGCTCCACCAAAGAATAGGATGAAAATAATAATATGACTCTTCAAAGTCATATCAAGTATCAAGGCAAGCTTAATATTTGGATGCTGTACTAAATAACAACCTAACCTGTGTAAACATCCACTAGGCAAAACAATTGCAATGAAGAGCTGTTAACTAAAGCTGCTTCTAGGTTGCATTCAATACAGCACAAAGTGATTTTGCTATGAAAGTACAGGTGTAGCAGTTGCTCTGTACCTATCTACACATAGTCTGAGAATTTATTAAATTTGTAGTCTCTGAATAACCTCTGTTTGCAAAATACCTAATTGCTGTCTTCATAAATGAGATTGATTAAAATTAAGCAAAAATACTTAAAATTAAATTCTTGGATAAATTATAAAAAAAAGTTTTAGATAGAGACAAAGTATCATCATGAAATGCCTCATCACAGAATCATCTCAGAGTTATAAAAAGAACAGTTATTTGTTAAACTCTGGTTATGTATTAAGGGGAAGATCACGAATATATTACATCCATGTTTGAAAAATTTGTGGACTTAAGGTGTCACTGTCTATTTTAACTAAGTCAGAATTTTAAATGCTTTATTTTTAATAGATTCCACTAATCAGTGATAGAATTGATTAATAGAAAATAAAAATAAAACATCCAGAATCTGTATTGGGTCACATTCTGGATAACTTAAGTAGATCTGCAGATTGCTTTGGACAGCTGCAACACAAACTATTTTTGAACTGTTTTGAATTGAGTTGTTTGAAAAACTGTTGGTGATATAGCATAGAGATTGTGTCCAAGAATAATAGTAATCTAGAATATGCCTACCTATATACTTTAAATGTCAGCTACTATCTTAAAAATCATTGTAAATTCTAGGTATAATACCACACTTAAACATTTTTTTAAATTTCTTACAGGCTCTTAAGTACACATCAAAGAGTCACCCCAGTGGTGGTGATCATCGGCATGACAAGATGCGAGACGCCACAGACCCTTCACCGCCAAATAAAATGTTGCGGCGATCCGATAGTCCTGAAAACAAATACAGTGACAATAGTGGACACAATAAAGCTAAAACCATTCATACTCATAGAGTTAGAGAGAGGGATGGTGGTGAGTTTCCTTTAACCTTTGATTCAACTTTGATTTTAATATTTAAATAATTTTGTCTCATCATTTCAGCATGGCACAACACTACATAAAATACATATACACTGCATAAGAATGAAATAGGTTTTTTTTAATAGTTCTTTTCATGGTACTTTTATTTTCTCCTTTATCATAATCAGATTATTGGCTTTTTATTTTTAAGAAACATGATCTCGCAAGTTGCAGTATTTTCTTTGAAATCTTTATCTTATTTTGTGTATATATGTTAAGTATGTTTAGGTTACTACTTTTATAGAATTCTTTTGACAATTAGCTAAATCGAGTAGCAAGCTATATTAGCACATTAAATCTAAAACTAACCAATACATAAAAATACATTGGCTATCTGAAAAGCTTTTTACAAATGTAGACAGTTCAAAAAGCATACTAACCATTATTTGGGGACACATTTCTGATATTTTTTACTATCAATAGAAGAAAATATTTGTAGCACAGGGTTGAACTGTTGGGTTCTTGGTGTTTTCTGAGCTTGGCTATTTTCTTGCAGTTTGTTCATTACCAAACTAGATAATGCCATCAGTACTAGCAAATGTCTACAAGAAAACAACCAAGCTCAGAGCACAAAGGATCTCATATTTTTTAATATGACAGCTGGCTACACACTTGCTGACTGCTTTGTATATGAGATAAATCTGATAAATCCATTACATGGGCTCTTACCTTATTGGTTCGGCCTGCTGCTGTAACTGTTTGGAAGTAAAGAGAACTTTACAGAGCCCTTTTAATCTTTAGGCTTGCTTTAATGTGTAGGTACAGTACATGGCAGTATTCTATATTGTACACAGTGATCTAGATAGGGTTTTTTTTCTTACTAGATTTTCTTAAATTTTTCAGTAGCACTTTTAACTACTATTTTTAAACCCTACTTATTGCTTTATTAAAGCATTTATGGTGTTTTATGCTTAAGCAATTTTTCAACTCAAGTTTATATGTATGTCAAAAGGGCAGTTCGTTACTGTTAATCTGAAAATTGGACACATTGTACATATACTTCATTTTATTAATTCTTATTGGCAATCTAAACTTTTGCTAATTTATTCTTAGAAATGGTTAAATCTAAAGTATTTTAAAATATATCTTAGTTTTTATTTAAGATTATTGTAAAATATCATGTAAAGCCCGCAATTCTGAGTTAATTAAGAGGGTAGACTTTGCTTGGGATTCTGTAAATTAGTGGACTTCCCAATAGTAGTGGATCACTTAAGCTAAATTGAATTTACTCAAGTAACTTAGACGATTTTCCTTGTTTGTGTAAACAACTGTTTTTTTTCTCCCAGCGTAGAGATGTATGGGAGCATGTATGGAAAGGAAAAGAAAAGAGGTAAAAAAATAAACAGGAAAGGAGCATGAAGGCATGAATCTTAGAAGTTTAAAAGATTTTAGGATTTAGGAACTTGAATATGGTTTCAGTGCCATAATGCTAGATATTTTGCTATTGCAGTCTTCCTTGAAAATATTAACTTTTTATTTAGGTTTACCTTAGAAGTATAAATAAAATCATAGTTGTGAAATATTCCTACCTGGAGATTTCATTTATTTATTTAAATTATGTGCTGCCCATCTTGTCTAGAGACAATTCTGGGCAGTTTACAAACACTGAAAACAGGTAAACGTTAACATGCTATTTCATAGCTTTCAGGAAACTATGTTTTCATATGGACCTGGACATTCAGTAGTCTAGTTGACTGAATATTGTAGCTTGTAAGTCTTGGCATCAAATCCTCCATTCAATCCTGAAGGGTTTTTTCCTCATCTATATTCAAATATTTAGGGTTGTAGAAAAGTTAAGAATAGGGTTATATTGTCACTTACTATATAGTGGATTTTTATAAATTGGATAAATTAAATTAGTGTTATATATTAAAACAATCCTACACATTGGATTGTTGGCATAGTTATTTGCTTTACAAATTCAAAAATATTTTCAGAAACACTTAGTTTATATAAAGTTTTAGAAGTAATTTAATAGAGTTCTTTTACAATAGGGTTTGATGAATATATTCTACATGTATGCAGGTAAGGGATATTTCAGATTATTTGTATTGAAAATAATATGCAAAGATTGTAATCTGATTTAAAAATACATTTTGATTGAAGTTTATTGTATAAAATACAAGAGACAAGATCATAAAGGGATAGGGAAAGATAAAGCGAGGAGGTGCAACGTAAAAGAAAGAAAAAACAGCATGTTCCAACTTTTTTTGGTGTGGTAGAATACAGAATACGGTTAACATCCACAACTTTTTGCTTTAGGTATTTAATGATTATTAGCCA